TCTATTTAGCCATCCCTCCCCAAGGGGGTGTTATACTTTCCTCAGAACATGCTAACCCCGACTTGGAAATTCAAGTTCAGGCTCTACTTTGCAACAAATAAAACATTCAGAATATATCAACAATATTAATTTAGCCTCTGTGGTGAGATCTTGGGAAAAGCCAGGACCCTTACCCAGAGACTTCACACCTTTTAGACACTGGTGTGATGCATCTGTGTCAGAGATGGACATGGCATCTCAGGAAGGCAGACGGGAAGAGGTATGTTGTTTGGAGGACCACATTTGTAATCAAGTATGTGCCAGACAAGTCTGGTGGATCCTGAGTCTGGAATCTCTAGGCTTTGGCAGGTAGTGGGGCCGGGCATTCACGGGCCCTGTGGGGAAAGCGACAGCAATGGGAACATGTTACTTGTTTCTTCTGCAGTCTTTTTCAGCACTACGGTGAAAACTTGTGTCAGGGTAGTGGTGATGGCAGCACGTCTCACCAGGAAACATCCCTTGGCTTATCTTTAATCTTGACTCAGGTTTTCTTTGCATATGGTCAGCTAACAATAGGCTGTGCCACAGTCAAGGCTAAAGTAGTATTTGATACGAAGACTTATCATTTCACCACACTGCAGTTTGCATTTCTTTGTCCTGAGTGGATCCCACTAGCATTCACATTTTATTCATCTATCTTTCAGAGGCTAGTTCTTTTCAAAATTAATCTATTATGTAAAGATTGGTTAGAGTTGAGATCTGAAAATAATTGTACGAAGGACACATTTATGTGGATTGCCAGGCTAGTGCAACCAATTCAAGAGGAACCATGCCTTCAGAACATGTGCTTTAAGAAGTTTTTCATTTTTGATAATGACCTAAAACGTTTGCTGGGTTTATTTCTAAGGGAGGACTGCAGTAACAGTTACACAAACCTGCTTTGGTAAATATTCTGTGCTACAGTGTTCTGGATATGATGAATGGAAGTGACTAAATAACATAAGCAGAAATAAAATTGATAATTGGCTGTTTCTGACATAATTCATTTTTCCATGCAGGAGAACTCCGGCACATTACCAAGCTGAAACCTTGGAGCCTGTTTGATGTACTTGTGGAGAAGTATGGATGGCCTCATGAAGATGCTGCACAATTTACAGATTTCTTGATCCCCATGTTAGAAATGGTCCCAGAAAAACGAGCTTCAGCTGGAGAATGCCTTAGGCATCCATGGTTGAATTCTTAGCAGCCTCAAACTATAGCGCTAAGCCAGCAACCACTTTCCATTGCATCAAACCTAAATGGGGACTATCACAAAACAGGATCACAAATGAGCTGGCTTCATCCTCAGACCTTTATTTTGCTTTGAGGTACTGTTTGACATTTTGCTTTTTGTGCACTGTGTTCTTGGGGAAGGGTAGTCTTTTTGTCTCCAGCTAGTAGTTTACTGACCCACTTTCTTCAGAAAACACTTACCGTGTCTTTAAGCATTGTTTCTTGTGTTGTGTGGCATTCAAATGTCAATTTTTTGAACAAAAAATACTTTTTCCCCCCCCAATGTGTTTTGCCAGGTTTTGTAACTATTTATGAAAAATATTTTAGCTGATGAGTATTATATAATTTACAAGCTTAAGAAATTATGAAATCAGTACTGAGAAATGGCAAGGAATTGTACAATTTTATCTTCTGGCAAAGCGACATCATTCTTGTATTATAGTATATGTAAATGCACCCTGTAAATGTTTATTTCCATTTAAATATGGGATGGGGATTCAATTTCAGAGTAAAGCTACTAAGTTTTAGAGAGCTTTGTAGCATACAAATTGCATGTAGTGAACTTCTAACTGCTTTAAAGAGTTGTGTAAACTTTCCATCTGCAGCAGTTCCCATTCATTGGATTTTACACAAAGTGGCTCTGGTTTACAAGATTTCATTCCCCAAATGGCACTTTAAAGGAAGGCTAGACTTCTTTCTACTAAAGTATGCATTATCATTTAGCACTCCCTTTTAGAACTTTTGCCTATTTTAAGTGCTTTTAAAAGAGAAAATAGCAATTTCCCTTTTAATGTGATAGTGAAGATATGGTACCAGATGGTGTTGCCTTTTTTTAAGCACTGTAAGTTGTACTATACTAAGAGATTAAAAGTGAGCATGGGAAACATTCTCTGTGTAGAGTTACTGATCTTTTACAAAAATGTGCGCTTGGAGTCAGAGTAGATACAAAAGCAGTTTTGGTACAGTGCAGTCAGCACAATTATCTGACGGTACGGAGAGATCATGCTCATTCCATTCATAGCTTTACATGTTTTCTAAAACAAATTGCACTAGCTTAACTTTTTCCCATGAATTAACATATATAGAAATAAGATTTCCCTTTGTAAATTGCACGCAAAACTTTTAAATGTTTCCTAGAAAAAGGCTAACTAGACTCAAGACTCATAGGCAATACAGATTTTAGAATGTAAAATATGGAGATGTATTTTGGCCTCTTTTAGAAGTCAGTGGGATGAATGTAAGTTTATTTCTGGTTTTACATGTTAATTATGGTGCCACTTTTTCTTGACTTTGTCCATTTGAAATTTATTCACATGCCTTTGCAATAACTAGATTGTGAGAAGGTAGCCCTGTGTTGTAACAATAACGAATTGTTTGAGGTGCTTGCAGTTGTCTAATTAAAGTGTTTTGTTTTTTCAGACATTGTGCTGGTCATTGGAATGTTTGGTAGAGATAAATCCAACTGTGCGCTGCAGTCACATTTCTCATTATAGCTAGCACAAATTAAAAGAAACATGCTAAAATGGCAGTTGACAATTCATTTGTAAGCTTATAGTATTTTGTTAACATTTTACCTACTGTCATTGACAGCACACTGTACAACAGTGGAAACAGTATGTCTCACACTTAGCTCACCACTTGTTTAGACATGTCAGACTTGGGAAGTGGCATTCCCCAGGGCTTGCTCAAATTAAACAAACATTCCTTTCCCCTTTCCTTATGTGTCTCCCTCCAGTATATTTAAAGTGAAAATTGTTAAAAACCTCTTAGAGTGCAATACCAAATGCTACTATTTAGAAGAAACTCAGCCACAGCAATGCCAACAATTGGGTTTCAGATCAGACAGCCGGTGTTCATCCGCTCTTCAGCCACTTCATGCTGGAACATCTTTTTAGAACAGCAAGGATGACACTGATGTGGTGAGGACAAATGCTGCACTAGAAGCCAGAGAAGATGGAGGTAAAATAATTTTCAGCTTCACAAGTGGAGTTACCTATTGATTTGTAGCTGCTCCTCAAGTGAACACTTATATTTTGAGTACAGGAGGGAAAGAAAAATGTAAGAATCAACAAAGCCCACCATTTAAAATGCACCAAATTAAGTATTAATACATTGCAACTCTTTGTAATATTATACCTCTCAAAAAAAATCCTGTGGTACTACATTCAGTCAGTGAAAGTGACTTAGTGCTCTCTCAGACTTATTTAAGCTCCTACTCTTCCATTTTTCAAAAGCTCTAGCTGTTCACTTTAAAAGGACATAAAGACTTTGCCACTTGCACAATGAAGATGTTTGCTCTGAAGCTAGGTGATGGACACCTGACCTACCTCAGATGGAGGGGTGGGAGGAGTGTTTCATCTGGCTCTAAACATCATGCTAAAGGTGTAGTATACTGTGAATATTAGGATGCATGTCTTGGGATATGTCAGTCACTTTTTCAGAGCTGGGCCCTGGCTAGCGGTCTTGACTGAAAGCTGTTATTTATTCAGAGGTTTGGTCAGCTCACCTAGATGCTGATATTTTTGCAACTAAAACATCAGTTTAACCTCTAGCCCCAGAAAACGCATGTATGAGAATGTTCCCAGATGAGCAGGGAGATCAATTTCTAATTTTCTTGTCAATCCAGCACCTTGGATCAGTAGTTATTTTATGACAAAATATCACCTGCTAAAGTATTTCAGTTGGCTAAACCAGGTTTTTTTTTAATCAGTAAAAAGTCTTCAATTCCTTGGAAATATAGAGTTAAACAACATGGGGGAGAGAGAGGAACTGTCACAGCCCCAAGTTAAAAACAGTGACATGAAACACTTTGTCCTCCCACCAGGCTCCCATTTAAAAAACAAAGTAAGAATCCTGCCTTTGGGTCCTACAGCATAAAACATTGGCACACATGGCAATAACATCTTTGCTGCCACTGAGTGATATTATGCTGCTTATACAATAAAAACAAAACACTGAACTTACTGTATAAAAAAAAAATCTACATTGTCTAGCTGTATGGTTCATTCCACACTTCATATTCTATTTTAGTTACAAAAACATACCCATCTTTTTCTGGTAATAATATGTAACCCTCATAAACAAGTGGACATGGATTTTAAAGTACTGTGTTCTACACATCTGAGCTCATTTTAAAGTTTCTAAAACAAATTTAACAAAACCCCACTTAAGTAATGCATATTGCAGGAAGAGGATTTTTTTTTTTTTAAACCTTTATCCCCCCTCAGCCTCTTGTAGCCTTAGATCAAATGTACTAATGTGTGTGTAGATATTACAGTGGTCAGTCATCAAAAGCAAAGTAACAAATATTAGAAACATGTTTGGTATAGATTTAGTTGATAACTGCACCAGTGTATGAATATTCATATACAATACAAACTGGATGGATTTAGCTTTGTATAAAGTGACACGTTTCAGTAGACAGACACTACACTGCAGTATTTCTAGTAGTTTCTCTCATCACTGTAGTGTATCCCTTAAGATTAGAAGGAAAAAGACAAGATAATAACCCTCATGGACACCTTCAAATATAGTGCAGGAATCTGAGGTGGAAGATGCAAAAAAAATTGCAACTGGTCAGTTTCTTCATGCAGGGAGAGTGAAATGTCCACAAATTGGCAACATTTTTAAAGGCCCAAAACTAGAGCCACAACTTGCAGCTGTAACACAGTTTTGACAGTTACTAAATATTTGCACACAGATTTACTGTGAATTTTTTACCCTTAAATATACCACCACCTCAGGACAACTGTATTAAAACTGACATAGTTGTGATTTATTAACATGAATTAAAATGCCCAACCAGTGCTGCAATGTGACAGTATATTAAAAAAATTAAAGATCATATACTGTACTACTTCCACAAAGATCACACATTTTTTGCAAAAGAGACCTGTCATTATGTACAATACTATATCAAATGAAAGAAGCCTTAAGCAATTTTACACGCAAAAGAAATACAGTATTTACAGCACTTGTCAGACATTAGAAACAGTCTATACATTAAATTACATTTTCTGCAAATAACTGATGAAACAAAAAGCCATGTCCACACCAAACTATAAAAGTCTGTATTGCATTGTTTTCTATCTATTTGCACACAAAACTGTTGACAGAAGAAAATGAAAAACCTGTTAGTGCCATCACTTAGCTGTGTACTTATTTAATTACATATGTATAAAAAGTAATATAGAAAACATTCACTAAATGAATTTAACTGCAACAATAAAATTTAAAGATTATGCAGCATCAAATCTACTGCCAGAAAAAACAGCTGGAATGTTCACTTACAAAATAAAAAGAAATACCTAATACTGGCTTAACAGCACATTTTCAGGAATTTTAAAAAGCAAAAAATGGAAAGAATACAATGAAAGAGCACTGGTGTTTGCTTTTATACAAAGTATCATGTACAAGCTTTAAAAAGTACCTTGAACAGGTACATATGAAATATACACAGTTTATCTTACAGAACATTTTAAAAATGTTTAGAATGAAGGGGTTTGTTTTAATGCCATCCTGAACCATGGTAATTGTTTTGAAAAGTCGGTGGCACCTGTGCTCTGTGAATTGGAATTTGTCCAGGCACTGGAGATGCCTGCTGAGGTCCTTGCACTCCGTGGGGAAGGGTAACAGAGCCAGGATGAGGACAGAACCCTGAAGCAGTAGGCGTTGGAATACTGTTTGGTCCTTGAGGCTGGATATGAGGACCTTGACCTGGTAGCGGACAGTGGGGTCCTGTTCCAGCAGGCTGATGTTGAGGTCCAGGTCCCAGGGTTGTATGATGTGGGGCTTGTGATGAATAGGAAGATACACTTGAATGAGCATTTGAAGGAAAATGCGGGGGTCCTTGATGAGAGGTGTGATGTAACCCTTGTGCTGATGCTGGGTGGTGCCCAGAGCCTAAAACGTTGGAGGGTGGGGGTGGGGGTGGAGGAGGAGCTGAATTCACTACATGCTGGTGTTGTGCTTGCAACCCTTGGTGTCCTGTTGTGGGATGAGGAGGCTGATGGTGGGGTAACGGACCTGGCGGTGGAGGTGGAGGCGGCAAATGGTGACCAGCAGCTTGAGAATGAATGTGCGACCCAGGAGTTACCGCCACTGCATGAACTGGCCCTACAACGTGTGCTACAGAATGCTGCTGATGGGAACTTTGCTGCTGTACAAGATGAGGTCCAGGTGCAGGCGGTGGTGGCGGTGGTGGCGGAGCAGCAGATGCTGAAGCCTGATGGTGAATACTGGGGTTCTGAGATGGCAAAAAGTGCCCTGCAGTTACATGGTGTCCCGGAACTGCTTGCTGGCCTGCAGCACCAGGAAGTGCTTGATTTGGCCCAGATGAAAACACAGTTTGTTGGGGCATGTTACCCTTTAGCTGATTATAATTCTGAAAGTTTCCAGAGGGCTGCTGGTTTTGATAATAAGTAGAAGAAGGAGGTGGAGGTGGGGGTGGAGGTGGTGCACTGTTGTTCAGATTTTGTTGATTAAACTGGCTATAAGAAGCTGAAGATTGTCCTGAAGATGTCTGAGTAAATATCGGTCCACTAGCCTGCTGCTGATTACTAGGCTGCAGGTTCTGTGTGGCTGGATAAAAACTTCTGTGGGTCTCTCTCTGAGGTGCTCCAACTTGAGGTGACTGGGGATGATGAGGTCTGTATGGAGATCCCAACTGCTGAGAATGAGGCTTTGGTGACAGATACCCATGCTGTACAGGTGTGTGGGGAGTAGATGACTTGGGAGGATTTTCTACATGAGGTGAAGGGGGACAATGCAGCTTTAAAGGTGCAGAAGGCAGCTTCTGTGAATGTGAAAGTTGCTCACTCGAACTGCGCAAATGTGACTGCGACGGGTGATTTTTTGAAAGTGCTTGGACGTTATTTGTCAGCTGTTTCTGTTGCAGCTCAGGTTTTGGATGATTCAGGTTCTCAGCCTCGGGTGCATTAGCAGCAGCTTCCCAGTGGGGATCTGGCTTTGTGGGGGTTTTCCCAAGTGACTGAGTTGAAACTCCAGAATTTGGTGAAGAAGGCTGGATGAAGAGGAAAAAAAACAAATCACTGCAACTCCTATACAAAGACACACTTGAAGACAGCTGTATGTATTAAAATAATTCTGTTTGCTTCTTTTAAGAACTGTAGCCCACACATTGTTCCCCCCCCCAGAAAATAGCAGTGCTGGAAGTTATTTGTAAGTAACAGGGTTGTAAAAATCAAAGATTTTTTTTCCTTTCTGTGGCACGAGCATGGGTTTTATATTCTCATTTATATAAAACTCAGAGACAGTAGCAAGCCTACGTTTAAGCAGAGATATCACTTACTACTACATTTTAACAGAAGGCATTGTTGTTTATTATTCTACAGCTTTCAATGGCTGATGGACATTTTAAAGAATTAATAAAAGAAAGATGGTCCCTACCTGGAAAAGCTTGCAATGTAGGCTATTTATAAAATCCCTGCACTACCAAGTCACATGCAATTATTTACAAATATAAAACAATTCAAGTTCCTCATCACAATTGAGGAATTGTGGAATCATGTAAATAGACTGACCATGACAACCAGAATTCCTCCATTTAATATAGTGCAGGTAGCCTCTATACCAGCAGTTCTCAACCTTCTGCACCTTATGTCCCCACCTACCTAAGGTCAAAAAAATCTTGATTCCACAGGTCAACAAGTGGGAGGGGGTCCCCCAGAAGCCAGTCAAAGAGCAAAGATTTAACACCTTTATATTTGCAACTTTATTACTACAACTGGGTTTGAACCTTATCTTAGTATCCAAACACCAGGGAGCAAAACCCCCCAAAAGAAGAGAGGGGTTGGAGGAAGAGATAGCAGGCCAGATTTTCAGCTCATAAAGTGTTATAGGATTACAAAAGAGGGGTGGGGGGTGCCAGTGGCCGATCAAAGTGTGTAACATTGAAACCAGAAGTCCCACCTAAAGGACCTTCACATCCGACCAGTTGAGAAACCCTGCTCTATACTTTTCACATCAGTGCCTCAACTACAAGCCCCTGAACATGGCAAGAAAAAATTCCCCTTAAGGTAAGAAGTACTTAAGTCCCATTACTACTGGCTGTCAAAGAATTCTTCAGCGTACAACCAGCAAACTGTGGTGATGCCGAGTCCACTAAACAGATTTCTCAGCCATACACAGCAAAAACAACACATGGATATGTTATACAATTAAATCATTTGTTAATGTGTTCATTTTTAAAGCATGTAACAAACAAATCTGTGTGTCTATCCATTTATTAAATTATCAAACAGAAAGGTACTTTTTAAAAGGAAGTTTTTGGAAAAGATACAAGTTGTAGATGCACTGAAGTCACTTGTTGATATCTAACCATTCGCTAGCAGAGGCAAAGTTGCCCCTCCGAAAATATGCTAAGGCTCAGTTGTGCTTCTGCCACACCCAAGCAGAGCAGGAGTTTAGTAATTCTAAATGTGCAGAAAACTCTGAAGCATCTGAGCATTAACCCACTGTGCTTATAGTGAATGTGGTTGCTACATTTAAATTTTAGTAGATTTGAGAAATAACTGGACATCAATTACACTGATTTATAGTTCAGTAGGTTTTATCTGTTCATGCTCCAGAGAAACTGGGGGGAGGAGAGAAAATGAATTAATTTATTTCAACAAACCTGATAACAGAAAGCAAGTGCCACTTCCACTAAAGTTCTAGCTACTTCACTCCTGCTTCTTAGTGTTTGCAAGTCAATTGTAATAGAGAAGTTTTTTCACAAAAGAAAACAGGTAATACTTTTTCCACTTTGGAATGCCAAAGAAAATGTCAACTATCTAATGTCTGCATGTAGTTGACGACTTGCCTAGTATTATTATTCTCTCTGTGCAACATGGATGCATACTACCTACAAGGGAAAAAACTCTTGATGATTACCCAAAGCACTTCAGTTACCAAGGTCAATATTCCTAAAACTGCATAGTACCAATCTAGTCAGCTATGTATTAGCATTATTTTTAAAAAACAAATTCAAAATATACTTGTGTGTGTACTTTATTTACAAGTATACGTGTACATCTACTCGCACACTAAGCATTACCTTGCTCAGTTTTGAAGGACTCTTGCAAGTCTTTTGCGAAGTATCTGGAGATGGACATTCAGTTGCAGGCTCTGGATTTTCAGGATCGGGCTCTACAAAAAAGTATGCATTTAAAAGGCTTTTGCAAACTACTAAGCAATTTAAAATTCAAGTCTACAGAACTACTTTAAGTTGGTCTACGATACTAGTCAATACTGAAAGCGTCATATGAGGTCATCTGCTTACTGACCTTCCATAAGTTCAGTGAAAGGAGGGACCTTAAGTTGCAACTGGGGAATGATATTTGAGTGAGATGAAGGTGGAGACTGAGCATGAGACGGTGAGCATGGGCTACAAGGTGATTCTCCCCCTACAGACGAAGCAGACCCAAACATAGTATTAGAATGGCTAAGAACTCCTGTATGGATTTGTTAGATGAATCCACTTTCTATGATAATGAGTCAACTTACCACTGTCCTTATCCTTCCTATGATCGCTGAGAAGTAAAGCTCTCTGATAACTTCGTTCCCTCACTTGTTCCACTGATGTTGAAGCGGTCCTTTTTTTTTTAAAAGGAAGAAACAACAACAGTTTTAATCTAAGAGGGCCATTCTACACAGGCTGCGTTTAGATACACAGTGTTAGAAAGCAGCTCTTTGGTATGCAAACTATCTTATGCAGATGCTTTTGGTACGTTTTGTTTACTACTCAATCAGTTCAGTTTCTGCAACATTTTCATCTGAAGAGCATATGAATATGTGCACACACATCTGTAGAAAAGGAAAGTATGCTCTGGGTGCTAAATTTATGCCAGCGGCAAAATTAGTGGACATTTCTGTAAACATAAACCTTAACTTTTGTCTCAGACTAAGCATTTGTGAAGCAGAGACAATAGCAAAATATGGGGTATTTTAAAAACTACTTTTTTAATATTTGAACTTGGGCAAACTTTTCCAAGTTTTGTAAAGCTGAGCTGGAGAGTCCTCTTGGTCAGCAGGGACAGTATGAACATCTGCTGACTGGATGCACCTCACTTAGCTTCCAAGCTGAAAGATCTACCTACAGGACTTCCACTACCACAATTGAACACTTCAAAGTTTCCCACTGTTGCTAAAAGCCAGTTCGCCTCTACCTGTGCTAGCAACGCAGAAGCCCATGGTAGAGGGACCGTTGCCTCAAGTGATCTGTCCTGAAAGTAAAGCTAATGTACTGAAGTGCAGGCATTAGGCAACTTCAGCTGTTACCAAATTGCATGTGGCAATTACATCTGCCAAACTGCTGCTTGCACACTCATAAGGCTGCATGCAAGTAAGGTGGGAATTTACTAATGTGCAGAGGAGTTATGCAAATGATTACCATATGCAGCCTACCTCAGCACTGGTGCTAAGCAACATTACAGCATGTTACCCATACAGCTGTGCTCAAGTGAAAACATGGTAACCACACAGGACATGTTAATTAGCCCTCAGCATACTCCTGGAAAAATGCCAGGCAGGCACCATTAAACCATGACAGACGAGGCTCAGGGCTCCTCTACCTCTGCACATGGACTTTTCCAAAAAATTCTGGGTTCTACACGGGCCTCCTTGTACTGCTATATTATACCTGCCCTTCTACCGCAAAGGCCTCATTATAGCACTTTCCATCTTAGATCTCAAAACATTTTCTGAAAGGAGGGCAGTATCGTGCCCATTTTATAAAAGGGAGGAAAAAAATGTTATTAAGCAACAGGCAGGAAAATTACTTTCTTGGCTACATGGCAGATTTGGGAACTGATGCATATCAACTTTTTAATCCATTTTACCATCATGCCTATTTTGAACTCCAGGCACCCCTCCATAATCTTTTTGAATTTAACAACACCCCATTTAAAAAACTAATGACATTTATCACAGTGCTCACCTCCTCACACAGGGGCCAGGTGTGGGGAGGAAGAGCAATTTCTTACCTCCTTGCACATTAAGCGGGGCAGGAATGAGCAAGCACTTAACTCCTCAATACACATTACCCTTAAAAGGATCTTATAACACCCAGGTTGAGAATCACATACACTCCTTACATACATACACACTGTATGCAAGGCTACAGTTCAGCCTTGACTTACATGCCTGTGAAAACTGTGCATGCTCAGAAGTGCAGAACTTCAAATGCTGGGTTGCAATCTTGTCTGTGAGTCTGGGTGAGTTAAGTTTAGTATTTTCTGTGGATTATAAAATCAAATGTATATGTACATCAAATGTATCTATTGGATGGCAGTAGGGAATATGCATGGCATGGACAAACGTACACTTGGAGCAGCTTCAACAGGGGAGAGGGCACTGCTGCTCATCCAGCATCAACGTTTAGGGGATTTAGCTCACTTGTATCACTCCCGGATCAGGCACATAACAGTTACAGCAGTAGTTCCAAGTCTACAGCAGTCTTACCCTGCATCTTCCCTCCTGCCACAACATATATTTGATTTTGTAATACTGAACTTACTCACCCAAGCTAAAATTTTCTACCACAGCTCCACTCTTCACTGCATTTTTAAAAAATATACAAGTTGCTGAATAAATCTCCAAAGTAAAGCTTTTAGTAACAGGATGAAGTGTGTATACATCTCTCTAATCATATCCTGAAGGACGTTCTTCTTTGATTCTAAGAAAAAAGTATTAAAACACCTGCCCACTCACTTGAAAAAGAGCTTATGGTGAAAACTTACTTTCCAGAAACGCAGTGTAAGTTTTTAAATATAAAAATTTAAGAACTTAAAAGTGGCATTTCACTGCTGTAGCTCATGAATTACCCAAGCACAGCATTTCAAACTGCAAGCCTGAAAGGTTCTTTCAAGTACTCCTATGTCCATTAAAGCTTTTAGGAATTCAAGGTATCTACAGTTTTGCATATGTAGATGGATTTTTTTTAGGCGCTCTGCTACACTTTCATAGACTGCATTACCAGTTGTCTACTTTACCCCTCAAGTTTTCAAACTTGTGAGCTGTATTGAATGGCTTACCACTGAACTTCTGGATCATTCTTCTCACTAGAAGAAGCTTCTTTAATTTGACAATTGCTGTTAATTTCTTCTGGAGCCGCATTATAAACAGTAGTTGGCAGTGGCAAAGGTAGGTTTGTGGTGTTATCAGTTTGCTCTCCGTTTTCACCACCACTGTTGTTATATCCATCACTAGCACCACTATTACTGCTTATACTTCCTCCACCAGCAGCATGAGGAGACATAGTAACCAGGGAAAAGTTTTCTGCCTTGGAGCCACTTTTTCTAGCTTCCCTTTGTCTCTTACGATATTCTAATAATGATACCTGTGCAGAGGCAGGGGATAAAAAACAAACAAACAAAAAAAACGGAGAAAGTTTACTTGTGTTTCATTGAGAATCTTTACTTTGCCAAAGGAAGACAGGAAAGTTGGGCTACAGAATTTAAGTTATTTCAAATAGGCCTACCACTTGCACAGTCTCTAAAAGGAAAGAAGAGATTAGTTAGATGACAATGCAATGTATTCTGAAAATGTACAGAACACTTTTCCTTAGTTTTCCCCTATATTATCTAAATAGCAGGAAGGCATGAAGCTGTCACACTCTTACTAGTTCTCATGAATTTGTTCTTTCAAATCATGATAATTTGAAGAATGTGTAATTTAGTGCATTTTAAACCTTTATTGTACTCTAAAAGGCAAAGATTTCAAATGTATTTTGATATTAGTTTAAATTGATTTCACATTCTTTCACCACTGAAGAACATGTATTAAAATGCTATATAAAACAGTAACTTTCCAAAATCTTACAGCAACCACTGAATTGAAGTCAGCCTGTTGTTGTTACACTCCCTGTAATTAGGGGGGAGGCAGGACAGTTGTGTCATCTATAGACTAACTCAGGCTGTATGATATGAAAGCTCATGCCTCTCTGAACATTTCATCAAGTGCTATGAATGGACCTGCCAAGAGCAGGGATACTCTTATGTAAAGCTGTCCCCACAGTTTAACTTCTGGGATTTGAAAGAAAAATACTGAAATACTAAATTTTGGGTCTGGAGGATTTTTTGAGTAAGGAAGCATTTTTCTGTGCAATTTAGATTTAACACCTTTAGCTCTGCAACTTTATTACTACAACCTGCTTTGACCCTTATCTTAGTATCCAAACACCAGGAAGCACCCCCCCCCCCCCCAAAAAAAAAAAAAAAAGGGAAGGGCTGGAGGAAGAGATAGTGGACCAGATTTTCACCTCAAAGTGTTATACGACCACAAAAGTCAAACAACTAAGATTCTGACCCGCCATGTACACAGCATCTGATGGGAGTGCTCAGCGAATACCACAGCTGCCTACATCCACACTTGCCATGTGCTAGATTTTCAAAAGTGCTGTAAATACAACACTTGCCAATTAAGTGGACATGCAAAAGGAAGGAGGGATGGAACTATGGACATTTGTGTTAGAACTGAAAATTAGGGCATTCTTGGCCAACACAATAGTAGAATTAGGTTGTTTTACCCTTTATCATATATTAACTTCTTTTGTGGATTAACAAAAATGGTGGAAAACTATAGGAAAGATTATAGCACTGATGCAGTAAGGCAGCCATCCAAAGGAATACAAGCCATTTTCTCAAAAAATATTAAGATAATCTCCATATTTAAATTGGCTTGCACACACTTAATTGGTGAGACACTCACATTCTTAGATTTTACCTTGCTTATTCACCCCAAAGCAAAATTCCCTCTCATGTTGCTAAAGTTATTGATGTGAAAAGTTTACGTGGAGGCTACAGGTTAGAAAGATTTCTGCCCAAGGGAGACAGAGGATGGAGTGTCCTGCCCGTTTGTTGTTGATCGGTATCATGTTGCTGCCAGGATTAGTCTAAACCAGTGTTTCTCAACCCATGGGTTATAACCCAAAAAGTGAGTTGCAAGCATATATGAAAAGATCGCGAACAAACTTTAAAAATGGATTCTCCTTTAAAGGAGAAAAATATTAGAAACTGTGGCTTTTCCCTTGAAGGCTGGCAAGAGTTCGAGCCTGCAAGGGGCTGCTTGGGGCCCCCCCCCCATTCCCCACACAAGCCCCTCCTGCCCCAACACACGGGGGGGCAGGGGAGCAGTGGGTAGGGAGTGAGGGGTACTGGGTTGGGACTGGCCACTGATGTTTACAAATGGGTCCTAGTCCAAAAAAGGTTGAGAACCGCTGGTCTACACTGACTGGGGAAGTTCAAGACTGACTTCCTGAACGTTTGGGAGGCCTAGACTACTATCCATTTCTAAAAATGCACTCTTAGTTTCAATTTCAAAGATCAGGAGCCTTCTACCAAGAGAAGAACTTACTCTAGAATATTCATCTTTTATTTGTAGGCAAGCCCTCAGACCTCTAAATTCTTAACTTACAAGTAAATGATTGCTTTGCTGAATAAAGCATGGATTAGCATCATCTAAGGAAGGGCAAGCATCAGGACCCTGGGCTCTTTGGCTATTTCCACCCAAGTGGAATTGCTAAAGGCAGATAAGAGTTCTAGAAAGGCCCTTAAATCAGTAACGTTTATGATCACAAATGAACCTGAAGAAACTGGCTGCAACATTGCCAAACTGATAAGGAAAGTTATATTTTTGCTTTTTATATGTGAAGGGGATAGATGGGGGTGGGAGAAAGACTGATTCACTGGACTAGGATTCAATTACCTGTGCCACCGAAGAATTTCTGTGACCAGAGACAAGTCATTTAGCATCATTATACCTAAAATTCACCGTCTGTATTCCTGTATTTCACAGTATTGTGAAGACAAACACTTCAGGCATTTCAAGGTCATCACAACATACTAATGTGGGGTACCTAAAGATGCTGAAACAGTATGTAAGAGCCACCAAACAAAATTACCATACCCATGTTGAGACCTTGAATAGTAGATGCATCTGACCTTTCTTTTAGATGGAGAAACTGGAGCATAGCTTCCAAAAAAACCCCAAACAAACAAAAAAACCAGTCTTGTTCTGAAAAAGTTACTTTGCTCCTATAACAACAAAAAATCCCTTGAAGAATCAAAGTATTGTTTTAAGAAAAGTTTAAATGTCTAAAATTTGATAAATAATTACTCTGAAAAGTACACCAACTTCAGAAAGAATATTCCTGCTGCACTGCATAAAAGATCCATTAGGCTAGGGTAGAATTTTGTATCAAGAAGAGAGGAGAGAAAGCATAGAGAAGAGAAAAATATTAAGTCTAAATATTGGCACAAACCATTCCTGTTATTTCAAGAGGAGATCCTGTAGGTATTTCGGGGGGAAAAACAACTTAACGGAAATGGACCTCAATTTTCTCTTAGCCACAATTTGTGGTTTCAGTAGTTGAAATGCAACCATTCAAGCTTCTATTTTAACCTGATGACAAAAAGACTATTTAGAGAAAAATAAAAATTTGAATTCCCTTTAGTTATGTTATAGTAGCATGCAGATTGGAGGGAGAGAGACAGGGGAAAACAGAACTACTAATCTGGTTTATCTTATCTGATGCCATCAGAGTCCTCCAAATAGAGAAGGTCCTCTGACTTTAAAAGAAACCATTTGGATTATTCAGCTGTAGATGAAATATGCAGCCATACCAGAGAAACAATGGATTTAGGATTCTCCCGGACTGGGCAAGACCATGGCCTGGAATCTGCAATCACAGAAGTACACACGGGGCAACATCATCTGTAAACCAGGTGCTTAAGATTTGACATGTTGTCATTTTGAGTTCCTTTAACATAATGTTGAGAACTTTCCCATTTGGAGAGGAATAAAGAATGTTCTTAAACTAATCGTATAGAATTTGGATGGCAAACAAAACTTTGGAAGTTGAATACCAAGCCAAACTTCTTTTCTGGAAGCTCAGTCTTACACGATACCGAGTAACAACATTTCTCTTTTCATGATTTCAGCTTTTTTAGATGGTAAAAAATCTTTTTCCTGTTTTTTCTGTTTCTAAGAACTCCTTCCTCTACAAGAACAAGGAACACTAGAAATCAGAGGGGTTCAATTTTTTGAGGCCACAGGACTTTTTAGACTTTCTCTGATTTCTTATCTCTTCACAAGAAGATGCAACATTCTCTGCTTATTTGGGTCCTTTTCTTATGCAGAGATTTTGAGTGAGAATATTTTTGTTCTCTCAGAAGATAAATAAATGGTGCTGTGGATCTTAAATACCCAAAATGGTATTTCTGAGAAAATTCCTTTGCAGCAAGGGAAAAAAGGTATCAGCCTAATTTCTTAAATATAAGAATGAATGCAGAGAAATTGTATATATTTTTAGCTATTTAGTTTGAGCCACAAACAAGTCTATGGGCATAAGAGCCAGGCAGAACAAGAACAAAGCTCAGTAACTTGCTGGAAACTAACAGTAACATCTCAAGCAGGAGAACTTTCCATTTTGGTAAGAGCTGAGAGTTACAAATGGGCCCACTGTCAAATAAAGTGTCCAATAGCTTGTTCCCTCATTTATTTAGAAGAGGGGAGTTTTAAACTACCAATACTGAGCTCAAGAACTGTATTTAGAATATAAAACCAAGAAAAAAAGTTTCCATGAATTAAGGATTCCTTTATAGTAATTGCATCACCTAAACCCTTAAAGTAAAACAAGCACCAGCCAACTTTGTTTTCTAATCTAAGTTGGAGCCCATAGGTTAAATACTGAAAGGGAGATATGACTGTGTGCGTCAGTATAAATAATCGTTATAGTAGTTAACATAAATCATAGATTACAAGCAGAAATCTTTATCAAATTGACAGTGTCCAAGTAGACTATTGTAGTACTTGGGGGCATGAGCAACTATCTTGTTTTTCAAATTTTATTTTATTTTTTTTAAATTGAAAGAGTGATTAGTTTCTCATTTATATGAAATGACTGAATAAATATGACAGGCTTTACACTGGAAATAGATCCAAGGCCTATTTTTCCCTAAGCAAGTCTGTTTTCACCTAATCCTTTAATTCATAATTTAAATGTACTTATTAGGTTTTATAGCCCTATCTACATTGCGCAAAACAACATTTTTTTGTAACTGTTAAAAATTTGTCTTAAGTTAACTGTGTTTTTTATTAATGTGGATATTTTATAATTGGTTTTCATGTAGTAGTCCATGTAAAAAACAAACAATAAAATTATTCTTAAAGTTATAACCTTTTTCTTTTGTGGAGGATTCTGGGGAGTGCAATTTCCATCTATCAAGTTGTCATTATTGACAGTCCTTCCAAAGCCAGATGCAATTCCATCTTCTGTAGTACAAAAAACAGATGCTTCCATGAACATGCCTCTACCGTCATCTTGAATCAGGCACTTTGAGTCATTTATTCGGAATCCACCTCCTACTTCCAACTGATGCGAAGGTGTCAAGTCCCTTAAATTAGAATTCATTGAGAAATTTACACCTGTCCTATCGGGACTTTTTACCCAGGAATAAACCGTGCCCCGTCCACAGTGAGCTGTTTCTAACTGGCTGCTTGAATCAGTCCTATCATGTGAGGGGGCTTCCAGGTTTTTATGCAGTGCACTTTGCTCAATTACTTCGAGTCCCAACTGGAGGTCTGACACAGATTCTTTTTCTCCAGTGCACTGCCTGGTGACATCGGTCCTGTTCCTTGGACTGGAATATCCAATCGTCTTTATTTCTTGCAGGCTCATTTCTGTCAGGTTGGAATTTCTGAAAGAATTCAGTGCTAGAATCGATGATCTCTCATATCCCTGTATGAAGAAAACATGCTTCAGTTATTGGCTATTTTCTCATAGCAATATTATAGTATTTGGATGAAATATTAATAAATACATTAACAAAGCAATGTTTTTTCATATGTAATGTTACCACCATTAACCGCTGGAGGCAAACTTGGTATAAAATTTAAAAAAAAAATCTCTATGAAATGTCAGAGATGAAGTTTATTTACATCGTGGTTAGCACAAGACAACATAATAAGCATTTTTACCTTTTATATTACACAACACGTTGGTTAGAACATTTTAATTCAATACAAATGAACTGGTTCATAATGTCAAAATTGTTTTTAAATGTTGAGGTCAGTTCTTAGGCAGACAGAAAAGAAAGCCTGACAAAAAACAGCGTAGGTGGTTCTAAAGATCTTAGAAATAGTACTCAACCTATTGAGTACAAGAGGGATCGATCCATCCCTATAGACAAGTATCTTCAGAAAAAGGATTGCACCTACATCTAGTATCCAAATCTTTGTATAGTAGGGAATACTTCTTAAGCAAATTCTTAGAAGCCCCAAGTAGCAGAAAAGTTTGTGGATTCAAGCTTTTCACAGGTACACAACTATGTTACCAACTCACCATGGTATTCCCCCCCCACCAACCAACTTGGTTTTTAATGTATGATTTGTTGTTTTTCTTTCTTTTTTTAAAGGAATTTGATATAAAATTAACGAAACTTTTTAAAGTCAGATGACATAAGTACAGTCCTAAACTTGTTAATGTAATTTAAAAATAAATATTCTACTTATGGCTCTTTTATGCAATTGTCAGTACTGATGAATAGACTATCAATGTATGCATTTCAAATTACCTCCATCCTTACCTACAAGAACTAATTAACATGTATCAGTGAATATTTTTTTTCTGGTAGTGTTAAGAGTGATGCTAAAGCTGTGGCAGTCCAGGAATAACACAAGAGGCAGGGATTTCTTTGAGTGGCGATATCTTTTATCAGACCAACTACATAGTGGGGATGGAGTTAGATAGGCTTTTGAATGCAAGACTTTTTTTTTCCAAGTCAAGTGCCTTGCATTCAAAAGCTCATCTAACTCCATCCCCACTCTGCAGTTGGTCCAGTAAAACATTAGCCAAAGAAATCTTTGCCTCCTGCGTAATTTTTTCCTTGCATTCCTGAGCATACTTTGAGTCATTCTTATAACTGGCACTGCAATAAGTAAAGTGATTTTCTCAAGAACTGACATAAGCTTAGCATGTAATATCCAAAGGCATTAGAATGTTTGTATAAGTTACCTTTACTGATAGTTTCTAGACATTAAATCTCAATATTAACATAACAAAACCCAGTTATTAATCATTATATCAAGTCAATTAATGTATTCATCCTTATCTCATATCTTACTGTTTGGAAATGTATTTGATACAATATTTTTCTATTGTCTTTTGAAAGGAGTTTCTTTTTTAAGTTTTCTGAAGCTTATGGATCAAGTTGCCCTCTAGTGGCTTTAGTCTACTACAACTCTAGATCAGTGGTACTCAGCCTTTTTAGGCCCAAGGCATCCCTCATTAAACTCAATGCACCCCTTAGAAAAAGCCAGCTCTTAGCCTTCACTCTGTGAAAACAGAGCAATTCTTCTGTTGCAAGGAATTCAGGATGACCACAGCAGGTCAGAATGTTTTTGACCCTTTTGATTCCTACCTGAATTCTTGCAGATGCTTGCAAATACAACAACAATACTAATACTGCATGGCACCCTGGTTGAGAATTACTGCTTTGGATTGAAGCTCTTAAGGAAGTGGGACCAAAGGGCGCAGGAAGGAAGGAGAATATGGGTCACAGGGAAAAGAATTAAGACATCTGAGCTGAAGAAGATAGGGAAAAGACAAGATTATGCAAAAAGCTGAGGCAAAAATTACCAATGACATTCACCAAAATTACAAAATTTTCAGTGTATTTACCAAGAATTTTGTAAAACAGCAGATAATCAGTATTTCTTTCTGCTAATGAAGTTTTATAGATTGATCAGACTCTTCTATAGTTTCTTGCAAAGATCCTTACCTCTTGACTATAAGCTCGCCTCTTAATTTCTGGAGAACTGTCAGGTGAGGAAATATTCTGTGCAAATAAAAACAGTTAAGAGTCAACTGAATTTGGAATAACAAAAGATTTCAGTAATAAATGAGTTAAAGAAACAGCTTAAGGGTTCCAGTCTTTAAAATCAATCTAAAAGGTGCTGCTTCCGTTTTAATCTGAAGGGGCAGAAAAGCATCTGTTCTCATATTTTTGTTGATAACCACTATCCAGACAACAATTACCAGGTCATTTTAAAGAAATAAAATGTACAGTGTGATAAATACAAAGAAACACACTGCTTAGTACCAGTAACAATATAATTTTTAGGCCTGAATAATACATGACCACACATAAAATATTGTACGTCATGGGGGCTCAATCCAGAACCAAGAATCTACCACCCTCATTAATCCAACTGCAGATACAGGCCCTAACCTAAAGGAATATAATAGTGCCCGCTAGGTTTGCACCACAGACTGGCACTGGATGAACTCAGTAATAATGCAACTGAGTGAGGAAAAAAAAGAAAAAGAATTTAATGTCAGAAAAACTTTCTAAATAACTGTATTTCCTGTATCTTTTAAAACATTCATAAAAAAAATATCACCTCAAAGTGCATGGCATTTCCATGTAGAGATGGAGTTACAGGGGTAACTGGTGAATATATGGGTTTGTAACCATTTCTACAAGTATCGTCTTCTGCTTTTATCCTAGGAGGAGTAGCAAACAATGATGAGTCTGTGGCAGTGATATCAGCATGAGTTGGTGTGGCATATGGAGACGGTGTAGGTGTTGAAGTTTCTGAATAAGCAGGATCCAGCAACTGATACAGTCTTCGTTTTTTTAACGGTGTGGTTAGATCTGCACAATAAACAAACACAAAACTAGGTTACTTAAACTAATTTCTTATTTGTGTGAGGAGGAAGTACATTTAGAACAATTAAAATCATTGTCAGAAAGTCAAATAAATACACCATTCATTAAAACGAGTTCCTCAGTAACTTTTAGGCTTTTACTGCTAATTGTTTTCATGCTAACTATGAAGGTAGAAAGCATTATATAAAACTCCAAAAAAACTGCAAAAACATAACTGAAATGAAACCCCCCCAACTGCAACAACTAACCAGAACTTCCTAAGATCTTCTGGATGGGTGGGGAACGGTGTTTGGGAGTGGGATGGACAGGTGAGGCTGGGATCATGGGGCTGGGTTGTGAGGCGGTGACAGCTTGGGGTTTGGGGCCAGGGTGCAGGCCCAGGCTAAGCTGCAATACGCTCCCTACACACCTTGCCCTATAAAAAGGGGGGAAAACGGGTGTAGGGAGGGATAGAGGACTGCCTGGGTGCTAGGTCCCAAGGGGAGCCAGCCGGGGTAAGGGGAGGGAGGGGGTATGGTGGGGCACATGCAGCAGCACAGTTGTCCAGGTGGTGTGGTCCACAGCTGCCCCCAGTGCTCCACATGGGGCCAAGGCCCACCTGGGACAGCCCACACCTCTTGGTCCAGTCCTGGCCAGTGCACAGCTTCTGGCAAGGCTGTTCTCAGTGTGGCTGCAGCTGTCTGGGTGCTACTCTACTCCTCTTGCCTCCAGTGGGAGCTGCGTGGCTGCAACTCACCCCCAAATAGAAGTGGGGGAGGAGGAGCCGCTGCTAGAAGCAAGAGGAGCAGTGCAGCACCTGGCTGGCCACAGCCACACCAGGAACAGCCCTGCCAAAAGCTATGCATGTTGGCTGGGCCCTGGGCCAGTGGGGCTGTTCTGCTCTTCTCACCTCCAGCTGTGGCTCCTCTTCCTGCTCCTGCCCCAGCATGCAGGGTTCCAGTTCCAGGCTGCCTTCCCCCTCCTCTCCAGCTTGGCTCCTCCCCCTTATGCACTGTTTTGGACAGGTGGGCAGGGAGGGGGAAGCTTCAGCCAGGCAGCACCTGCTGGGAGGTGAGGGAAGCAGAACAGCACCAGGAACTGCCCCATTGGAAGCTGTGTACGCTAGTTGGGGCCAGGGCCACTAGGCATGGCTGGAAGCATGATGCGGGCTTTGTCCCAGGTGGAGCACCGCAAAGGCAGCCACAGGCTGGATCCAGTCAGTCGGTGAGCCAGATCTGGCCCTTGGGCTGTATTTTGCACATCTCTAGTCTATAAACCAAAATCTGAACTTATTAATATGAAACTCTTCCTACACACTGTACTTTCAAAAACAAATGAAACTTAATTCCACAGAACCACTAGTAGGAAGATGATCTATGTACAGATTTCCATTGCCAAATAAGAAAACAGAATACAACAAAACCACTCTCAACCCAATACCACTGTCAGGGAGGACTCGCACAAACCATTTGCAGGTACTGTTTATATGGAATATGAATATTTAAAAACCTTCCCCCTATAAATTTGAAAAAATTAAGACACTATAATGATGAGAACCCCACTCTCACCTCGCTGTCTTGTAATAACACTTGAGTAGTAAAGCATCACCTGTTAAGGAGCAGCTGTCACTCAGTAATAATGGACTTTTATTTTCACCATTGATTGCAGGACTTCTGGATCTCTCTCGAGATGGCGAATTATATTTATCAATCATCGTTGAATTTTCTTCTTCCAAAGCTTGCTTCAGCCAACGCTGAAATAAGTATTTTTTTTTTTTTTTATAAATTAGATGCAATTAAGTTACTAATTAAAAATAGGTCTCCACTTCTGAATGGACTATAAGTGTTAGGACTTATTCTACCAACACTGCATTTCCAGCCAGTGAGATAGACTGTTTCTAAATGACAGCATACTGGGCAGAGGACAATCTACAAACAAGTTACCCCCCTTTGATTTAAAGAAAGGGTATGGCAAAGGATCAGTTACCTTCTTACAAGACCCAGTTAGGTTTTCCACGGGTTCTTTTCTCCTCCTCTTTTCCGAAAGGAATGGTGAAGTAAAACGAATATAGTGCTTAGGAGTAGAATATACATGTGGACTGTAAGTGAGACCTGGTAAAGAATTCAGTTGTGTAGCCAGAACTTCAGGATCTGTAGTTATGCGCAGAGGCCTTTCTGAAAGGCTGTCCATAGGCTTTCCCGTCTTCTCATTCTTCTCACTTAACCATTCACTGACCAAGTGCTAAACAAAAACAGAGAGAGTTTCAATACTCATAAATGTTATAGACAAGGTCTCATTTGTAAATTTCTTTGTACATTTCTACAGGAAGTTTGACTCCAATCCCTTCTACCATTGATAAATCAATGGAGCTTTCCGGCTCAGACAACAGATCACTATTTAGTTTCTAGATTATAGTGTAGTATTAAATATAAAAAATTGTCACAATAAAAAGGAGAGTTTAGGTTTGTGGCAAAATAATGCACCAAAAACAAACAAACAAAAAAATCTACCTAGTTATTCATTACTACTAATGAATTAGTAAAGCAGAATTTAAAAATTTCAATTTTAAACTGGGATCACGGTGAGAAATTTTAGGGGCTGTAGAGTTACCTTAGGGAGTACTGGTGAGCTGACTCAGAACCTTCCCTGCCCAAAACAGCTCACTAAAACTCTGTAAGTGGCAGATTACTAAACCAGTCTGAGGGCGCTGGACAGAGCAGGAGTCTCCATGGAGACCAGCTTGGGACCCCTGTAAGCAGGGCACACTCAGCTGGGTGGATGGAGTGGCATCTGGAAGCAGGACAGGTGGGTGGGGCCAGGATCACAGGGCTGTGACAGCACTAGGCCATGCTGGAGGCCTGGGTAGCAAGGCTGGGTCCAGCAAGGCTAGGTGGCAACACTGGCAACAATAGCTGAAAGGAGCCACCACCAGGAATCTGAGTCTGGCTGACACCCCAACTCTGCTATGCATGCTGGGGCCACAGGACTGGCCACACACAACAGGCCTGGGCTGTCCTGGGCCTGGGCTGGGTGGAGCTGAGGGAGTCACCATGGGCCGCTGGCAGACCAGGTCTGGCTCATAGGCCGTATTCTGCCCAGCCCTGATCCAGGAGTACAACTGTAAAGGGTGAGTGTTTCTCCTCAACAATTTTACAATACGCATTCAAAATGGCACCTGTGCTAAGAGAAGCTGTTTTCAGTCATGCAGGATGATTTGATATCACTCCATATGTGCCCAGATTGCCCCCTCAGACCACTTTCTCAGCTGTGTCTGAACTACGGTTTTTCACTTTACAGTATCCCACTGCTGTTCACTTCAGCGCAGTTTTGCTGGGGCATCAATGGGGTAAAGGGTAATTCTATATTACTGACCAATATCACTGAATCATTTAGCCCTGCAAACAACAGCCTTTTAAATTAAATCAAATAGATTCTCTCATAACCAGAATGGACTGATTTAAATAACCGATTCTAGGCAAAATTTAAATCATCAAGTAGGAATCCCCAATTTAACCTTGCTTTGCAGTTGTGCTTTAAGCCAAAGGCAGGGCAGGGTGGCACTTCAAGACTGACTAGTTCAGAGAGGAATAGGCCTTTGTAGACCACAGCCTACTTTGTTGGTTGGTAACAAATGTTAGTGCATCAGTGAAGTCAATGGAGTTAGACATTATGCACCTGAGCAAAGATAGAGAAAGTTTAAGAAAAGCTTTAATTTGTCTTGATTTTTTTTTAAAGGGACATACCTTCTTTGTTTTAGGATACTTAGTAGGGCATTTATTAAGTGCTGGAGCTTCCATTTCAGCAACTATTTCTGCAACAGTAGTTTCTGTTTCAGGCTCAGTTGCAAGTGCAGGGTTCTCCGTTTCATTGTGTTGTGAAGTAACTTCCACATCAGGAGAAGATGGCTGGATATCTGAGCACATGCTCACAGTTCTGTGTCGTCTACGCTGCTGTCCAATATGAGTCCTGCTCCGAGAGAAACTTTTTCTCTGTTTAGCTCTATTAACTTTGGCAGGGGCTGGCTTGGTGGCAGTTTCTTCTTTTGCTGGTTCCTATTACAAGATTTAGTCAAATAAAGTAGTTATACGAGTTGCATCAATTAGAAAAAAAAAAAAGAGATATATTCTTTCTTAAAGGTTTAACAACTTTTTGATCTAATTCCTACCGTAAAATACAAATACTTATAATTAATTACTATGCCATCTCCTAAAAGCATGTGTAGTGTTTCCTATACAAACTTAAGAAGTACCAGATGCTGCTACTTGTATACCAAGATACTGGACTGGATGGAACAACGGTCTCATCAGCACGGCAATTCTTAATCTGAGCTTTACCATAATAACTCATTACATTCAGTTCCCTCATCCTTACTCCGAATCATTCATGGTCAGGTCACATGATTTTTACATGCAATAACCTTGTTTCTTTACTTGCCTGCAAAGCCGTGCCCATTTCCAGTGCTAATAGTAACACTTAAAAGTGTTATTTTGAATGATTTATATAAGCCTGTGTTACTAAACAGGCAAAGAATTATAAAAAATGCAATACATTCAAAAGACCATTTACTACTTCCTACTGGTTGTTAATGCAACTAACTATGCTGTTTATAATAGTTTAAAATGTACTCAATTTTTACTGTACTCAAAGTCACAGAAAGTTATTGCAAGTCTCCCTTAACGTCAGAACAGCTATAATAGCAATCATAATATTTAGCATATATTTAAAAGTATCTTCTATATGAGGAACTGCAGTGTTTCAAAGATACCAACCAACTAAACCTCAAAATACATGCTAGTATTAGTTTCTCTTTAAATAAGGAAACAGATACAAAGAGGTTATGTAACTTCTCTATGGTCATAAGAAATGAGCAATCACTAACACTAGCAGGATTAGAATGAAGGCTTAACTTAGTTTTGCAAGGCTCTTTGAATAGATGTGTTATCTTTTATTAGACCAACTGAGCAGGTGGAAAAAAGTTCTTAGCAAGTTTTTGGGCACAGACCCCTTCTTCAGGCATAGGGAGTCTCTGCTGTTCTGAGACTCCAAGAAATGGGAGAAGCTAAAAGTGTGGCAGGGTGTCAGTAATTATGCAAGTAGGTAGAAATGAGAAAGACAAAAAGGTAAAGCAGAGAGGGGAGGGGGAAGAGAGCAGGGGGAAAAAAAAGGCTGAAGGGAGACATTATAGTGATAGAATACAGGGTGGAAAAGAGGCTGCCTGCGGGGAAAAAAAATAGTAGATCAGGAAAACAGGAATGAGAGAATCTTTAAGTGTGAGAGGATGTAGTGTAATTATAAATAGGTAGAAAGGAGAAACAAAAGATGAAGCAAAGGAGGGAAGGGGAAGAAAGCAGGAGGGGAAAAAAGGCCAGAGGGAAGCATTACAGAGGTAAATATACAGGGTAAGAAAGAGGCTCTCAGTGAAGAAGGAAATAGTAGGAAATCAGGGAGACAAAGGGCAGAAAAGTAGGGGAGGGGAGAAAAGGTGGGGGAAAAGAAGAATGTAAGAGGTCAGGTCAGGCAGGTACCTGTAGAATCAGACATCAGGCAGGTTGTAACATGTCATAAAACCAATGTCAATATTGAGTCCATGATTTTTTGTATCCATGATTGTAGCTTGCTAAGAACTTTTTTCCAGCTACTCAGCTGGCCTAATAAAAGATATCCACATCTGCTCAAAGAACCTTGCCTGCCTATGTCCTTAGACCAACATGCCTACAACCAAAAATCCAGTAACTTAGTTTTGAACTCTAACTAGTAGACAGCACAGGCTAACATAAAAAGTGTATGAGCAAAATTTAAACCAATGTCTTTAAACATCATCATACTATTTATTCTTGAAACACTGAAAACTAAACTATGCTATAAAAAGAATTGTATACATTTTGGTAAGTTAACATCAAAACAGAAAATATGAAATTATCTAATTAATTTCAGATGTCTTTTGAACTCCAGATACCGTTTTTAACAAGGTTAGGATTAAATAGTGCAGATAAAGTTACAGATAGTTACCTGAATGAATTCTGTGTCATTGATAATCTGTGCTTCCTTGCATTCTGACTTAACTTCAGTTTTAGCTGTGCTGATTCTTTCCAAAGCCTGCTCTCTTCTTTTTTCTCTTTTTTCTAGTCTAGCAAAAGCTTGGAGGATAGCTTCCATTTTCCGTTCTTCTCTTGTCTGAAGGATTTAATGAGAAGTTTATCAAACACTAATTTTATAGTAAATGCGCATTTATTTTTTTAAATCACATAAAAAACTTAACTAGATAAATACACAAGATGTTGACATGCTGGTCAAATTCAGCAAAAGCTCAGAGAGGAGGCAAGTACTATAATGATTGCAATTAGCAAGAACATCTTATCAACATTTGAACTCATACTAAACCTACAACACATGATTAAACAACGCTTCCTGTTTTGAGTTAAAACCAGAGATGTAAAAATAACACCCTGCCAGTAAATAATTACACAAGAAATGTAAAAACAACACATAACTGCAAAACGTAAGACCCCTGGCTGTTACTTGCATGATTCTCCAAGCAAATTTTGTATAAGAACTGTTTAAACACTCATGACCAGGAAAAAAAAGTTATCCAGAATGGCACAAATAAAATGCTGAAGACAGGTTTTCCACTTTTCATATGCCACAGCAAACACACTACCTTTTTTTTTCTTTTTTAAAGTACAAATATATCAAAATAAATTATCTGCTTGGAAGAATGAGTATATCAACACCATTACAATCATTATGTTATTCAACAAAACTGGATTTTTGTTATGAAGGCATGAGCAATTCAGATCCTCGTCCTTGTGTACAGTGAGACCCCAGCACACGCACACAGCTCCATTAAAGTCAATGCAGGAGGTACCAGACCAATTTAGATCACAAGCTCTTGAATACAGGTGCCTGTGTTGTGTTATCTGTGAAAGGCCATGCACACTTAAAGGCAAGGCATTTTTATCATTATAGATAAGTCTTGCTTCAATAAAGATTAGGCACAACAATGACAACAGTACTGCTCAGGCTAGTAAAACTGAGGAGCTAAGTTAGACTCCAGCTCTGCAAATTTTATTAATGCTTGAAGGTAAAACCTTTGAATTATCTGTATTACAGTGATAGACTTTAATTGGTTCCTGCTTAAGAGTTGAAGTTGCATTAATGTTCAGCCTTAACAGCAAATTTAAATGCTTTTTCTCTGAAAAAAAATTAAATTTTTATGTTTTGGTTTTACTAATTCAGTATTACTTGAATTTTTCATGGTGATTTAATGGATTTATAAATTGGTATAGAAGAGTGAAAAAATTAAGCCTTTAAGTGGTCTTTAGAGCATTTTATAACCTTTCAATCAATCAAAGATGTGTACTCAAGTGAATTTTAATTTGATAACATTCTACCATTAATTCAAGCAGTTTGAAAGGTCAAACTTGTACTCTACTGCGTAACTTTAAACTTATCTCAGTAACAGGAACCTAGAACACTTCCAATGTGTGGAATGTGTCACATTATATCTGCTGATATAAACTGTTAAAGTTTTGGGTTAGAGTCAAGGAAGCTCAAGGAAGCCAGGATACATATTGCTGTCAGGTATCTGAGAGAGAAATGGAAGCGAAACATTTATGGAAAGCATTACTTTTAGCACTACAGGCAATCTGAAGACAAAAAATACAAGTCCATCCTTAAACTTATATCTATTCTTTTAAGGCTTGGAGGCCTGCTACCTTAAATGCTACGAATTACAACTTTGACTGCCACTGAAACCAGAGTTGGGTATCAGATCAGGTTCCACTGCAGAACCTCCCCCCACCCAAACAACTATGCAACTGACAGTATTTTTTTTGCAAAATATGTAACTGACAATATTTTTAAAGAAATAACAGATAAAACATGGTTATTATATAAACTACTCTTAGGGCAAAGAGATATGGAGCAGTAAAACAATCCCTGCTCTGTCTCATCAAGGAGGAAATTATGTTATGACACAATAAATATTTTAACTTACAGCAATTCTGTCTATAAAGTCAATAAAATAGAAAAGTTTAGTGATTAAAGAATTAGGCAACTGATGTAACAATACCAGTAACACTGGCTGCCATGCCATTCCCTTTTCACCAAGTAATTTAGAATTAAATGTATTTAGTTGCTTTTTATTTCTTTTACTGGAGCATAAAAAAAGAGGCTATTAGCTCTCCTACTACATCTTATAATTTGAGAAGTCATGCACATTAGCTTTGTAGAAAGCAAGATAATGCAAGTGCACTTGCTAGACAAGCATGCTTTACTGTCTCCTTAATTTTATAACTTCAATTAAGGTATTTATTCCTTCTTACCAGTAAATCAATAGTGGGAGACTAGATCTCAAAAACCTATTCACTTGTAATCCTCTTTTTGGCAAATGTTTAAATCAATCAATCAATCAAAAGACCAACTATTAACAGCTAACAGATGATTGCAATACAGCTCAAAATAACCACCACCATAACAACAAAACAGAGCACAAAGTGCCTTCAGAAGCACATTCCATCTTTGTACTACCTCATTGCCAAAATCTGCAACTACACCAATATATCCAATTCAAGAGTTATTTCAACTTATACAAGTTAAATCAATATAGTAAAAATTGTGTTTTAGCGTAAAGGTCTAGTGAGAGGACAATAATATTGTACTAAGTATAATTTCTTGAAATGTAGCTGTAAGCAGTAACAGCAGACCTGTAAATCAAACTTTTAATTGTGCCTATGACACTGCAGAATTAGTCTTCATAATGTATGCTGAATTGTTTAGTCCTGTATAGTTTTAAAAAGAGTTAAAGCAGTAGAGTCAACGTCATTTCTCTCAGAAGCCTATTGCATACTTAAAAAATATCAAGAAAGGCCACCTTGAAATTGTTCAGGGTGTGCTTTTTCATACTCAACTCCCATGTCTTTTTATCAGATTACCTTAAAATATTTAGGGCAGAAGTGCTGGCATATACCTCATCTGTTAGGTCATGATTTAGTTAATTCTTTCCTCATTAGTAATTCCCTGGCATTTACCCTTCCTGTACAGATATTTTCTAGATTTTTAAGTTTTCATGGTCTTGTAAATTATGTCTCCAGCTCTGTTGACTGTGACTATAACTTTGGAAACATGAACGTGGTGGAAATCAATATAGCTTTATGCTCCCTTCAAGGTAGTCTGAAGAACATAGAATTACGAAACACACAATCTCCAAATATGCCAGAGAGAATTACTAATGCCCAGCAATGACAATCTGCGTGTTAACCTTGCTACCATGAACATAAACAAAAAAAAAAAATACACAAAGTTCCATCTAAATTTATAACCTACTAGTGTAACGTATTAAAGCTAAAGTTACTATAAACGAAATATGGAAAAATCTGGTTCTATTTGTTTTGCGTATTCAGTAACTCTGCATAGTCAGCTTTATTACATTACATTTAACAGTTCCTATATGAAACCATATAAGTGAAAAAATATAGAAAGTAGTATGTTATTGTAAAACCACAAATGCTGATTACTGCTTCTAACAGGATGGTGTTTGTTAAGATTACTTTTAATTCATTATAATTCATTATAGTATTCAACTAGATTCATATTCACTGGTTACCTACTCTCAGAAAAGAGATTACAAACATGACTGACGTATTGATTTAATGTTGCTATACCTGAAACTGGCACAGCCCATAACCAAACGGGGTCCTGGTCACATAGGACTGCTAAGTGCTACAGTGGCAAATATAGGATTGTGACAGATGCGGTTACCATATCGACTTGAACATGAGACAAGGTTGTCATCTCCTCCCCCTCCCATCGGTATGGGGAAAAAAAAGTCCTTTGTCTTCCATTCACATAAAAGGAAACCTCATTAAATACACTATCATTAAACTGCTGGCAAAAGCAGCATGTGATCAATAACAGAAGCCAACAGTGAAGCTGATGAAATGCAGCCAACACTAAGCTTGATGTTAACACACATCACCCATATGGGGAAACATACTGATGGAAACCTACCACAATAAGTTAGTACAGCCCATTTGAAGATGCATGGTAGTCCCCACTGTGGGCAGTCCCCCTCAGTGCCAACTCTTCTTTAAGTCATGGTGAACCACTGTACTGAATACACTGTGACTACCTCTTCACTCTCACAGCTAAGCTATGCCCTTCTAAACAATTCACCCAGAATCCCCCTCAGCCTGTCACATCAAATCAAAGAAAATTAGGGTAGGAAGGGACCTCAGGAGGTCCAGCCCCCTTCTCAAAGCAGGACCATTCCCAACTAGATCATCCCAGCTAAGGCTTTGTCTAGCTAGGTCTTGGAAACCTCTAAGGATGGAGATTCCACAATCTCTCTGGGTAACCTGTTCCAGTCCCCTCCTAGTGAGAAAATTTTTCCTAATATCCAACCTAAACCTCCCTTGCTTCAACTTCAGACCATAGATCCTTGTTCTGTCATTTGGACAGAAATGTACTCCACTGATTCAGAAGGAATTTAATCAAGCAAAAGTCAGGTAACCTTCACTCTGTGTGAAGATACTACATAGTTAAGGTGAAAAAAGATCTGCATTTATAAACAATAGATTGCATCAATTACATCTAAAACAAAGATATCATCTCAGAATGCCCTAATGAGGGGGAGGGAGGTAGAAATGAAGGTAAGAAATTCCTGGAGACAAGTTTCAAGAGTGTCAGTGGTAGCAAGAGGGGATAAAAGCTGCACTAAACTCATACACAGTGTACAGCTATAAACAGGCCTCCTACAATTCTGACTTCTGTACCTGCAATATTTTTATGCCTGTGGTAAAAATGTTGAGTCATATGTTTTTAGTGCAATGTTTTGGGTTTTTTGCTTTGTATATTTTGTGCTGGTTAATCCTTTGTGTCCTTTCCTTGGTTATTTGATTCCACTGTGGGAGATTTAAGGTCCAACAGCAATTTAAGGCCTTCATCTGCAATTACTGATTTATATTCAGGGAAAAGATAAATTTCCTAGAATTTAACCTGAAAGTGTGTGGTCAGCTATGTGTGTGGTGAATTTATATGTAGGTTCAACTTATAATCAGAACAATACGATATGTTGTCAGAGTAATGATTACAATTTAGGAGGGCAGGTCCAAGGGACAATTTTAGAAGGTCTTAAGATAGGTAAGCCAAGGTATATTTTGACTAGACAAACGAAACAGAAAAAAGGTGCCTAAATTCCTTGTTCTCTTTTATTACTAAGCAGCTCTCCTTCCTTTGCCACCCCCCCAATTAGAATCAAAGCTGGCATATGGAGAAGATAATAATAAAAGGTCCTTATCCATGTCCTGCTCTACCATGATCCCAATCTCTATGTATTTTTTATAGCTAACTCTCAAAGTCCAGCTAATTCATTTTCAAAAATCCTCTCTGATGACTAGACTCCTGCCTTATTTCTTGTTTTGGTTTCTGTACTCTTTTTGGATCTTGATCATTCTTCTTTCTCTAGTTAATTGCCCATTTCCCCCCCCCACTCCTGCTTATTTTAATCATTTATTTATTTTTATAATTCTTCCCCTTCCATCCCATTGTGCTCAATCTGCTATTCTTAGCCTCCACCCACCTTTTTCCCATTCGCCTCCACATCGTTCTGTGAGCCTCTACATTCCCTTCCCTTTCCCCAAAGCAGGTTCTTTTTGCTGTCTTTGCTTCCTACATTATCTCTGGTTCAAGGGATATGAAGCAGGGAGTCCTTCCCCTTAGGGCTAAATATTCCCACCATGGAATAAAATTCTGACTGCAAACTCATATAAAGGCCTCTGACTTATGCTTAGCAACAAGATGGGCACCGCTGATCTCATTTTCCTTCTATTCACTCCTGCCAGTTCTGATGGTCTGAATGGTTTAAATATGAACACATCAACAAATGTGAACCTAAAACTTCATATGTTATTATATACCTGTACTGCACAATCAACTATATGATCTATTGGGTGCTACACTCATAGGAATCCAAAAAGTACAAGATTATCATATATGTAACGTGACTACAGTCAGCATCATATTTTCTTGCATACAACACCCTCCCACCCTCAAAAATAATACTCACCTTAGTTTTGAAAGATGAAATTATACAAAAATATTTTTCCACAGTGCATAGAGCAGGAAAAGAACCTGATCTGCAGCTGACTTAACCTCCCTTTCCTGCATACTAAACCGAATCCTTAGCTGCTCCAAGGGTTTTGAAAAGAGACAAACAGTCTGTGAAAGAGACCAGGAGCAGCCAGCAAAATTGCCATAAGAAAAGTTAGTCTGAGTAATAGAGCATAAAGACCACTAAAAAGGAGAGGCTACTGGCCTCTCTCTAACTTCTAGAGAGTTAAGAACAATGAGCCATTAACAGTTAACTGACTCTTCCCTCAGCTACTTGCATATTAATACCATAGCTGCTCCACTGTAGAGTACTAATTAAACCAGGGTGCTTCTAACCCCAGGAAGAAAATTGGCTTCCTGGTTTAATACATATACACCAATTTTGGGAGGCTAATTTTTTGGGGAAGGTTTATATTGTGGATGGCAAAATATCTTAATCTAAATTATCACAGTTCTCTATTGTGTTATTCTATTGTCAACAACAAAAACATCTTAATTATATTTATAAATATAGAAAAAAGTTATCTTTAGCATATTCATAAAAATATTATTAAACAGAATGAGGGCTAAGTGCATAAAAGGAAACTTTACTTTAATATGGCAAGGAGAAATATGTTTACACTGTCTCATTACAAGACTGCCATAAACTAGTTGATATATCTTCAGGCACCACAACTGTGTTTAGCACTAAAGAAACTGCAGTTGATATTATTTTCATTTACAGTATCTAATTACAGTGACCTATTATAATTCTTAAGTCCCACAGTCAAAGTTGTTCATAAAGAAACAAACCATATGATATTCAGTCCACCTCTTCCCTTCTCCCCACCATTGCTAAAATTTAAATAGTGTTATAACCAAAATGTATTAGCAATAGCCCTAGCTCCCCAACCTCTTTCTTATAAAGAATTTGAGCTAGGTTACCAGCTCCCTGGAATATTGACCTGTCCATTTCATGGGTTTCTTAAATACTGGCCCATACTTAAGATGTTGCAAGTACCATATTACGGCAGTTCTGTAATCTAAAATTAAAGGTTGGTTTGTTACTTTTTTAAAAGACTTCTTTACAGGGAAAATGCTATCTATGCCTTTTAGGAATCCTACTTCAACATTTAAAACAGGGGTGGGCAATTATTTCTGGAGGAGGGCCACTTAAATGAGCTTTGGTGGGCTGTCAAGGGCTGTATGGGTAGCCCCGCACCCTGGTTGCCATACTGGGACTGGAAGTCCCATCCTCTAGCCCCTGAACTTTGCCACCGGACATCCCTCCTCTTGCCTTCCCCTCCCCTGCCCAATACCCATTTTGGGAGGA